CATTCTGTGATTCTGTAACCTCAGGTTTGATGCTTCACAGACAAAACCAGCCCTGTGCCCAGCAGCATGAAAATCCAACTTGTGCACGCAGTGAGATTCGTCTTGCACCTGGTGACATTTATCAAAACCCTTTTGCACCCCACATTTAGAGGAAAGCCCAGACACTGGGGTGTCCTCCCCTCACACACTCCTGGCCCCAGCACCTCCAGCATGCTGGAAGCACGTGGTGGTTGAGTCATGCTTGCTGCAAATCCCCATCCTTGCAGCAGCTCATGTTGTACAGTCGCTCTTGCAGCGTCTCAGCTGCTGTCTCCACACACAGAGCTCACACTTCGCACCTAACCAGCGCCTCTGAAGCCTCCTGGCTCTCTGCAGGCAGCTCTTCAGCTTTGCACAGGGCTATAAGACCTACAGCCCATCTCCCCCAAGGCTATGGCACACAGCTCTGCCCACAACCACTGCATTTTGGTAGGTGTTTTGGAAGTTGACAAGGACTTGATGTTCTTTCCCACAGCAAACACTCTCCTCCTGCTGCAAAAGCACCACAAAGGCTCCCAGCACTCAGCCCTGGCATTTCCTAAGGCTCCCTGTACAGTTTTACCCTCCTGCTTCCCTATGGTCCCAATCCTTTGTGCCACAAGAGGATGAGGAGTTCAACCTGACAGAAGGTAGGTGTTTTGGAAGTTGACAAGGACTTGATGTTCTTTCCCACAGCAAACACTCTCCTCCTGCTGCAAAAGCACCACAAAGGCTCCCAGCACTCAGCCCTGGCATTTCCTAAGGCTCCCTGTACAGTTTTACCCTCCTGCTTCCCTATGGTCCCAATCCTTTGTGCCACAAGAGGATGAGGAGTTCAACCTGACAGAATGCAACATGCAGCACCTATGCAGTAAAATAAAGGAGAGTCTCCATTATCCTTTGGATACCTTGGAACAAATTCATAGAATCACAGAATCATTTAGGTTGCAAAAGCCCACTAAGATCACCAAAACCAGCCATTCCCCCAGCACTGCCAAGCCCATCACTAAACCATGTCCCCAAACTGCCACATCCACACATCTTTCAAATCCCTCCAGGGACAGTGACTCCACTGCTTCCCTGGACAGCCTGTTCTAGGGCTTGACAACCCTTTTGGAGAAGGAATATTTCCTAATAGCCAATCTAAACCTCCCCTGGTACAACTCGAGGCCATTTCTTCTCATTCTGTCACTTATTACCTGGGAGAAGAGCCTGACTCCCGCCTGGCTACAACGTCCTGTCAGGTGGTTGTAGAGAGTGAAAAAGTCGCCCCCTGAACCTCCTTTTCTCCAGACTGAGCCCCCCCAGCTCCCTCAGTCTCTTCTCATCAGACTTGTGCTCCAGACCTGCTCTAGGAGGAGCAGGCAGCCCTGAATCCTGCATCTCTCCACAGTGGCATTGCTCCCACAGCTGTAAACACCAGCTTTCTCCATACACTTGTATTGCTGGTTGTACAAACACTAAATCCTAACCAGGGGCTGCAGTTCCCTGTACTGATGTGACTGGATTCAGAGAGCACAGAGCAGTGCTCTTGGGAAGGGATGGGCAGGGCTGTCCCCTCTCCTTGCAAAACCCACCAGCCCACAGCCTCACCACATCCTCTCCACTGGTGGTTTTTTTCCCATCTTGGCAGTAGGGGGGGGAAAAAGGAGAGAGGCAGATCCTGTCAATCCAAACTCCTCCTCACTACCTGCAAGCACAGTGGCTGAGCAATTCCAAACAGGAAAGCAAATAAACAATTGCAGTGAATAAAAACAGCCTCTGGAGTTGGCGTTTTGGAGGTAATATTGATTTCAAACTCCTCTCCAGTTTGCTTTCTGGGCCATGGGAGCCAGGCTGAGCACCTGAAGCCACCAGCATCACCAAGTGCCTGTGCTGTGTCTGGCCAGCCCCACAGAATGCACCAGCAGCTCCTCACCAGCTCTGCCACCCCCTCAGACCTCAGCATCACTGTTTAATAATGGCAAAACTGCAACACAGCCCCTGCCCCATGCCAGCACGGCTGCAGAGGCGGAGAAGTAGGACAGTGAGCCTCTTTGCCAGCACTGTATTTCCCTCTGGTCCCTACAGAAATCAGGTTTGTTCTCAAGCCAGCCTAGGGAATGGGCACCTGCTCCAGTATAAGCAGAAAAGCAAAATACTCCTTAGCCCCTGTTTTGGAGCACAGAGACAGTAACAACGTGAAAATTCCCCCCTAAAAGAAATTAAAGTCCCCCAGGCTCACAGGGACAGGAGCTGGATAAGCCATAACACTCCACAATTTGAAGTTTCTTTTTAATTTTTAACCCATACTGTGATTTCTACCTTCATGGAAACAAGGCTGATGAAAAGAAGGCAAAAAGCAGGCACATCCATGAAATAACACATGTGGAAATTATCACAAGGCCAATTAGATTTTCATGATGCTGCCTGTAAATTCCAGGAGCCACGCTGCTAGACTACATAGAATTGTGGAAAAATGGATCTTAAAAATCATGATACAGTTACACAGGGGAATACTATAGTAAGCAATTTCTTTGAGAGATTGCTAAAGTGGTTTTCCTGCCATCTCCCTCTCCCCTGCAGCGTTAATCCGCAAGGACACAGGCTCCCATCACTTTATCCTGGTGGGAAAGTAGAATGCCCCACTGAGCCTCCCAAACCTGGGGCATGTGCTGGGCAAGGTCCATGCTGGTTAGCAGCAGGAGCCTGCTCTGGTTTGCTGCTCTGAGTGATGAAGGTGATGGCACAGCATCCCTGGCGCTTCCCAGCCCTCTTCCTGCAACCCCTAGGGACCATATCCCCCATGTGCATCCCTCATTTTTTATTTAAAAAAAGGCATCAATCCATTTTTCTGCCTCCAAGCAGTAAAAGGACAGAGCACCCATAACCTTGGCACCCCGAGACACCCTGTGAGACAGCTGTGTCCCTGGGAAGGACAGGAGGTACAGCCCAGCAGTGCCAGGAACACCATCCCTTGCCACCCCTCAAAGTGAATCAGCAGCATTTTACCATACCAAGGCCCAAATCCTCATTCAATTAAAAGCCAAGGAAGGTCCCTAATCCTTTCCATTACAGGTCAGTAATAGATTATTTTTTGCAGAGGATTGGGAAAAGGAGGAACCTTATTTATGGCCCCAGCCACCCAGAACACAGTGACAGAGCACGTCTGCCTGGCATTGCGAGAGATGCCAGGGCTGTGTGCACCCCCCCAGGGGTCCCAGAGTGCCCCCAGTTATCAGCTATGCTGGTAAACAAGGGAACCTGTGTGTTAGATCAGTGTAGTTTTCAGTGCCCCCAGCAGCATCTCCCACCCTTACCCTCCAGTAAGACCTAGGTGATGGACCAGCAAATCACAGACACTGAACAGATTGGCTCCAGCCTTCCCAATAAGGACATCCCAAGCAGCAGGAGACCAGACTTTCTCAAACAAATCTTTGAGGCCAACCAGACCATAAATTGTTCATCCCTATAGCTCACCCACTCCCTTGCACACCGCAACCAGGGCTCTAGCACAGGGAGTGCTGCTGCTAATTGCTGTAGGCGCCAAAGGACAGGGAGGAGGGGACATGGGCAGCACTGATGGAAGCAGTTCTTGCAAAGAGACAGTCATTAACACAAGAACAAGGTACAGGACACCAGCCACGGGTATGCACAGGCTACATACAGTGGTGGGAGCAGGCAGCAGCTGCCCAGGGCACTAGAAAATCACCTTCCCTGCTCTACTCAATTATGCCTGGGCAATAGGTGCTGTAGTTAAATCTCTAATCCCATTGACACACCAGAAACAGACAAGAAATCGACTTTTTTGGTCTGGACATTCAGGTAGTTCAATCCTGCTTAATTCCCCCACTAAGGCAGCAATATCCTGACACCTCCACCTCCTTTAGGAAGAGGAAAACCAAATCCTCATGGTAAGGTCAAGCCCTTGCCATGTACTCTCCCCTTTCTACTCCAGTCTAGGTTTCACAATCCATCTGTCCACACACTATTCTGTATCTCCAGAAGGACCCTGGGATGGACCAAGTGGGAGGCCCAATGCTGGCAGCCTGGTACCTTGGTCTGGGATTAAAGAACAGCCTTTCCACTGATGACAGACTCACCCCTGATGCATGTTCCCCCATCACAAGCCATCCAATTTGCCTCCTGCAGAGCAATGCCACTCTGCAAATCTCCGGGCATTATGGGAACCGGGGTATAAAAACATTCCCAGTGCAATGACGCTAAAATTGATGCTGAAATTAGGCTGGGAACAGAACAGGCATGGTTACTTCTAGCCCACAAACTCAAATAGACTTATATGGCCAGTCGCCCACAATGATATTGCACTTTGCGATCGCCTGTAGCTTTTTTCCGTTTCCAGCTTTGCTCCCAAGTTGCTTCTTGGGCATCCCAAGTGCTTGAGCATCAGCAGCTTCAAGTGGCTGCAAACCACAGGAACCCAAGCCCAGCCATTCCCTGCTCCATCAGTACAAATATCAAAGATCCCAGCTCCCTGTCGGACACTGAGACCCAGCCCCTGCTGCAGGGAAGGGATCTGAGCCCAGCTCTGGGGCTTTCCCAGGCCACCATGGGGATACAGGCACATCTGCCAACTGGTCTGCAGGGAGAGCAGATGTGCAGTGCCCAGAGACCACATCCACTTTCATGAAACTGCCCTGGGGAGTACAGGAAGGCAAGGATGGAAGGAAAGAGATATCTCCAGGGACAGCTCTCAAGCAGGAAGATGAGTGCAGCTCATGCTCATGAGGTTTTGCTCTCTGCAATGGGCTGCACAACTCACTCAGAGATGGAGGCCAAGCTCTTAGAGGTCCCCTTTTCTAGAGGCACGTAACACACCTCTATCCCCCACATCTCTTGCCCAAATGGGACGGACCAACTCCATTCCCATCACAAAGGAAACTCAGGATCTTATGAGTTTCCAGCACCCAGAAATACTCTGTCCAGCTCCCCAGCCCCATCATGCCCAAGTGCCCAAAGGGACCCAGAGCAGAGCTACTCACATTGTACAGGACTGTGGTCCACCCTTCCATGGTGATGCACTGGAAGACGGTCAACACAGCAAAGAGGATGTTGTCGAACTGCGTGATCCCGTCGTTGGGACCGATCCACTCCCGGCATTCGTAGCCTGGGGGGCAACCCTGCACCCCACATGGATGGGGAGGGTCCAGCTCCTCTAGTTCACCTGCAAACACACAGCAGAGAGTCAAAGGAAGCAGAGGTAAGGGAGAGGTAAGGAACAGCTCATGCCAATTTGGGTTTTTTCCACTCTCAAGACCCCTTGTCCCCACCTGAATTGTTTGTGTAGCAGGCTCGGTGCAGCTTCCCGCTGTAGAACTCCAGGCCAATGATAGCAAACATGAGGATAGCAAAAAAGAGCAGCAAGCCAATCTGGAGGAGAGGCACCATAGCCTTCATGATGGATTTTAGGACAATCTGCAAGCCTGGGAGGGAAAAGAAAGAGCACAGCTCAGAACAGTGATGCAAACCCTCTATCCACCTGTGGCACATCCATCCCACCTCTGGCAAAAGGAGGACAGTCAGTCATCAGAGAGATGCAAGAGGCCACCATAGCCTGGAGGATCCCTTTGGGCAGGAGGACCATGTTGGAAAGCACCATCCCAGAGGAGGGAGGGCCAGACTGCAGAGCAAGGCTCCAGATGGGTTTGTTTCTGGAGCCAGTCCCCACTCTAGTGTCCTGCCTATCCTTGTCCCAGCTGGACTTGGTGGGACATGACTCGTGCAGCTCCATCCCTCTCATTGCCCCAAGGCATGGATCCAGCACACCACCCTGCTGGCCCAGGGCAGAAGGGACAGGAGGACCAGTGCCAGCAGCAGCCTAGTTTCTTTATTTATCCCCGTGCCAACAGATGAAATCTTGCAACAAAAAAAAAAAGAAATCTCCCCTGAATAAACCCCAGTCCTGAAAGGATCCACCCACTGCCTTCTGGCCAGGGAAGTGGAGCTGCCAGCAGGCTCTGCCAAGCCCAGCCCTGTGCCAGCACAGAGCAGACTGGGCAGGGGGCAATGCCACCCAGGGACACCAAATGCTGCCACCCTAGAGTTTCCACTACATCAGGAGTTTTGTCCTCTCTTCCCTGATTTCACCCCCCAAGCTAGCACAAGGATCTCCCTCTCACTCTGAAGGACATCAGGGATTGGTGCAGACACCCCGGGGGGAGGACCAGGAGCATCCAACTTACTGGGAATGCCCGAGACGAGCTTCAGAGGTCTGAGCACGCGCACAGCTCGCAGCGTCCGCAGGTCCACGTGGGTGTTGAAGTGTGTCCCGGCAGTGGCAAGGATGCTGCAGGCAGACAGGGAGAGCAGAGTTATCCCAGGCAAAGCCCTTGGCCACCTCAGTGCCAAGAGCCTTGTTATCATGCCAGGCTGGGGGAAGTCACGAGGAAGACTGTGTCCCTGGGCAGGTACAGAGATTCAACACCTCCCAAAGGCCACATGCCAGCAAGCCCTGTTTGATGCTGGCGGCAAAGTTCATGGGCCACTGTGATCAGCCAAAGTCACCCAAGGATCCCCGAGCCTTGTCACCCCTTCATCAATGCCCTCCATGTGCCAGGGTGGCTGGGGACAGCCTCACATCACAGTGCTGGCCATCACCCATGCCATACAATCATGCTCTGGGGTCTCAATATCGCCCACATTGTGTTCATCCCTTAACCTCCCTTCCAGGCAGGTGGCACGTGGACCAGAGACAGTGCTCCGGAGATGTGGGTCACATCCCTGATGGTCACCCATGGTCCCCTGGCAGCACCTTCAGCCATCAACCACTCTGGCTTTTTCCACACATGGAGCTTCCTTAGAGTCCCACCTCTGGGATTGTTGAGAAGGAGCAGAGAACCTCACATATATTCAAAAATCTATAGTAATGAAAGTTTGATGACCTTGGAAGGCAACCGGCAGGCACAGGAAGGACTCCAGAGGTTTTCTTTTAAAACACAAAGATTTCTTTCAAGCTCATCTCTGGAAAACAAACTGGGGCAGAAGGAAGCTGGTGCACACCGAGTCCAGCAGTAGAAACACTCAGGGCCCCTTCTCTGTGAAAAGGGATGCTGGCAGAGCCCACTCCCATCCAGGCTTGGTCCCCAGGTGCTGGGCGAGGAGGAGGAGGAGGGAAGCTGTAGTAGAGCAGCAGGGGATGGGAGAGGAGGGGATAAGGAGGAGAACGGGACAGAGGGAGGCAGCAACCTCAGGGTTGTTTGCAGCAATCCAAAAACCAAGGGAAATTGGGTCATTGTTCCACTAATTCATCTAATTACAGGCCAGAGCAGCTCTCTGGCGTGCTGAGCAATTAGCACTCTTTCTCTCCCCCTCTCCCCGAGGTACCTCAGGTACCAACCTGTCCCTCCAGAAAGGCAGCTGGGTTTCCTAGGATACCCTGCCAGCCCAGACGCTCTCACACCAGCAAACCAGGCTCTTTCAGCGCCTTTTCCCAGTCTCCTCTTCCTTCCTGCCCCAGCACAAGAGATCAGCTGCAAAACCTGGCCTCGGCAGCAGTTGGGATGCATCACCCACAATTCCCTATGTATCACACTGCTTATCCCCAATATATACAGGGATCTTTTACCCTTGATGGCACTTTCCCCCAAACCCTTCCCACACAGTCCCTGTGCCCCAGCCCTTGACCAGCCCCCACTACCCACAGGGCTGATGAGAGAGCAGAAAAGGGACTTAATTAAGTCAAGAGCACCCAGAGGCTGGGGAGAGCTGTGCTGTTAAATTGGTTGTAAAATCAAAATCAATAAGTATGATAAAGACAGCCACTCGGCAGCACAAGGGAGAGAGAATAGCACAGGTGCTTTCATCCCTTTCACACAACCTGACAGCGAGAACAGGGTAGCCCAACATTCCCCAAAATACCAGTGTGGAGGACACACTGTGCCAACGTCATGCTGGAGATCCTGAGACCCTCCTTCAGTTTTTGCTCCTCCTGTCCCAACACCTGGTGTGCCACCAGCCTCCCAAAGGGGCATGTGCAGTCCCTATGCTGACTCCAGCCAGGACTGAGCATCTCCAGGAGGCCAGGGATGCTCTTGGGCTGGACACAGGCTCCAGCCCTTGTCTCTAGCTGGAAGGTTTCTGGCAGCAGAGCAAGACTGGGGTCAACAGCTCTCTCCTATCACAAGGTGTGGTCCTACCCAGACGGACATCATGATAGAGGTGGTGCTGTCAGCTCTCCCAGCCCCACCACACATCCCATTCCTGAGGCAGGACTGGCACCTGGGAGCACCCTGGCTGCAAAGTCCTCAGCTAACCCAGATTTGTTTGAAGGGCTCCAGAGCTGTCGCGCTGAGCCTCTAGGCAAGGTTCAGGTGATTTCAGGGCACTACTTCCCAGCGCCCTAAATTAGCTGCTAAGAATGGGACTCCTCTGTGGCAAGGTGACATGCTCCTTGTCCTCACTGGGGGACAGGGGACATCACGAGCTCTTTCAGAAGGAGGTTTGGACAGATCACCAGAGCAAGGCGGTTGCACTCAGACCTGTCTACCAAATGATGACAAAAGGATGACCCCACCGCTATGAAATAGGTGTCTGCACATCCTTTTGCAAGCACAGCTGTGGCTCCCAACAAGGATGGATGCACTGGGAGCACACACTGCTGGAGCTTCTCCCAGCAAACCCATCCATCCCAGAGCACCAAATCACCCCAGAGCCTCCAAGCAGGGTCTGAGCAGCCCTGGACCAAAGTGGCTGGAAAAAAGCTAACCAAGCTTCCAGGCACGCAAGTCTGGCTTCTGCTTGCTTTTTCCAAGCTTTTCCCATAGCTCTAAGTTAACAGACATCACCTCTCCCCAATAAGCAGGCTTTACTGGTATGGCACAGACACCACTCTCACCTTACTACTAAGAATAAACACAACACTCAAAACACACCTTGCTGCTTCACACTTCAGCATCTACCTGTCAATTGCTTATTAACCTTCTAAACATGTCTTTTATTAGTATTTTTACCCAAAACTTATCACCCAGCACATCCCATTTCTGAACTAAGGTTTCTTACAGCTCCTGAGGATGCACAGCCCAGAGATGGGACTTGGGCTGTGACAGACCTGTGTGCTGACACAGGGTAGCAGCTCTGGTAGCTGTAGAACAATTTAAAGCCTTTTCGATCACTTACAATATCCACGTCTGATGTGCTAATAATTATTCTTTATTTTTAGGCAAGGACCCAAACTAAAATTACATCTCACCATCCAAGTTATTTGAAAAAAGCTGCCAGATTTGGGCTAAAAAAATCCCAATGATCTCATGCTTTTCATCATATGTACTGGAGAAAAAAAGAAGGAAAGAAAAAAAAAGTGAAGGCGTTTTTATAGGTCACCCAGGCAAAGGGGTTAGTTTTACTTCTTCAGAGGAAAGGGGGAAGAGAGACTTCAGGTGGAGAAAAGAGCAGAGAGAAGCTTTTGGAAGGATGCAAATGAGAGAGGAGGCAGGATGGGAAATATATGCTAATCCCCCAAAGTATAATTGACTAGTGAGCAATCACCAGCAGACAAAAACACTCTCTGGATGGGAGAAAAAAATAATAATCCAATGCTTTGTGTTTGCAACGCAGATGATTATTTTATTTTATTTATTTTGAGGCTCTGGAGCAGAGGGTGAGCTCCTGCTGGGGCTGCCACACCTGCAGGCTCTGGGGCTGGCAACCAGCAGAGTGATGCTCAGCCCTCGGCACAGCTCCAGCTCACAGCAGCTGAGCAGAGCGCACGCCCTCGCCGCCAGCTGAAGACCTGCACCTATGGATTTCTTTACCCAAGGGGGCCAAAATAAGAGAAAAAAACCCAAATCATATTTTAAATGACTCTCTGCTCCTTGAGACTGCACAGAACAAGCTATGAGTGATGCTTGATGACCCTGCCCACGCAAAGCACAGAGCCAGCACTCAATTTGGGTACTATCCCACACTACAGCACCCACTGTACAGAACACACAGCTCAGGGTGTGCTGCAAAGGGCTTCACACCAGGGACTCCAAGCAAAAGTTGAACCCCTGAGTGATCAGATCAACCCTTGATTCATTCCTCCCACCCCAAACTGTGCATCCCTCAACTATTTCCATCGGGGACCACTACGGAGGCACACACAGACAAACTGTCCCAGCAAAGGGTGTGCTGGGTGGAGAGAGTGAACAGCAGACAGACTAATCTCAGCTCAAAATCTGGGGCAGGGAGGGTGCTGGCTGGCTGGCTGATGCACAAATTAATATTTATAATTAAGTGGAAAGGCCCCTGAAGGCTTGCACTGCCACCTGACTCTACGAGGGAGACTACTTCATAATTAATACACTGGTCAAACGGCTCACAGAAAGTAAGTTACCTGATGAATTTACCCCATTCTGGCCCTGTGCTGCAGGTGACTCAATCCCCTCTCTGCAGACAGCATCACATGTAGCAGGATGTATTCAAGGCTCTTGGGTCCAAGCCTGGCTCAAGACAGGGCTAGCAGGATCAGGTCAGCCACCCTGAGGATGCTCCAGCAGAGCACATCAGTCCTGCTTTGGTGATACCAGGGGACAGACACTAGATCCAAGTCCTGCCCTCAGCACAGATCAGAGCAGCGTCAAAGCCTCCATCACCTTCGCTTGCTCTTTCTGGGTTTTGGGGCCGTGACACAAGTGGATTGCACTGCTGCAAAGTTGCTGCTCCTGCCCTTCCCAGTAGCTTCAAGAACCCTGAACTGGGCACCAGAGACTCCCTGCACAGCATGATGAGGCTAAATGACAAAATCTGCCTTCACCAGCCTTCAATCTGAGGGATGAAATGATCCCCCCCAAGGCCACCTCTTCCTGAAGAAGTGCCCCAGGATTTGGTGCATGAGGCAAACCATGAACTGGCCAAACCCCACACCTCCCTCCTGCCTCCGGTCCCTGTGCTGCCTCTCAGCAGATACAGGATTTAGCAGGGGGAGATGATGCTGGTAAAACTGCATTTGCACATGCAAGACCTGAGGGAAACCTAAAGCCATTGACAGGAGGCAGGAGAGCTGGCCCCACAAGAGATATAGAGCACAGGCAAGCACATACCACAGCAGGACCAGGATGTACTCAATGCCAACAGAGGGGTCTGAGACCCCAAGGACATCCACTAAGCGATCCCACCTCCTCACGTGAGGATGTGGTAGAAACAACCCATTGTCCCTTCTCTCAGACCAGGCTTCTCCCTGCTAACTCCTCTCCTGGAGGAAGATCCATGGCAGCACAAGGAAACAGTGCACAGTGAATTTGTCTAAGGCTTTACCCCCATGGGAGGGCAAGGACTTTACCCCAGAGCAGGAGTTCTGCAAGGATGTCG